CAACTGCTCCAAGCTGGTCAAGAAGGCTCACCAGCGCCTCTTCTTCTTGAGGACTCTGAGGAAGAACCACCTGTCCTCAGACATCCTGGTGAACTTCTATCGCTGCACCATCGAGAGCATCCTGACCAACTGTATAACAGTCTGGTACGGGAACTGCTCTGCCTCGGACCGGAAGGCGTTGCAGAGGGTCGTGAAAACTGCCCAGCGCATCGCCGGAGCACCACTTCCTGCCATAAAAGACATCTACAGGAAGCGGTGTCTGAAAAGGGCTGGGAAAATCATCAAAGACCCCAGTCACCCATCACATGGACTCTTCACCCTCCTGCCCTCTGGGAGGCGCCACAGGAGCCTCCGGACTAAGACCACCAGGTACCGGAACAGCTTCTTCCCCACAGCTGTCAGACTCCTGAACTCTGCCTCCTGACATCTGACCCACGTTAAACTCATGGACTGAACATACACACACCCACAATGGACAACTGTACCCTCAAACACACAATAATAACATGGACTGAACCACCACTCACAACCACCAGCACTTTATATAGCCTCTGTAGAAACTATCTACACCCTCACTTATCTTAACTGCACTACTGTATAGCTCTGTGTAAATAATCATTCTGTACATTCGATAATCTTTAATCCTACAACTGTTTACAACTTGCATAGTTCCCATTTCTGTATAGCTGTATATCTCAGATTCTGTAAAGTTATTTATTTCATATTCTGTATAGTTTTTCATATTTATATCCTGTTCATATCCTGTACATAGCTTGTACTCACTACAGCCTGTACATACTTATAGTTATAGAATATTCACAACATACTTCATACCGTGTACATTATAACATACCATAATAGACCCATTTCTGTAATATACTCACATATCTATATTATTGCTAATATATATTGTAATATATCTATATCACTAAAGCACTTCTGGATGGATGCAAACTGCATTTCGTTGCCCTGTACCTGTGCATGTGCAATGACAATAAAGTTGAATTCTATTCTATTCTATTCTATTCTATTCTATTCTATTCTATTCTATTCTATTCTATTCTATTCTAAACTATGTGTTGAGTAGTAATTTCATGCTTGAAGGATTCATTACTCAGTGTTTAGAGTCTTAACAATCAAAAACATTCCCCTGAAAATGATCAGGTACAAGGACTGGACTGAAAATGAGTGAACAAGCAGCCAATGCAAGGAAAACTTTGAAAGACCTTCAGGAAGCTGGAGAATGATTTCTACCCAGTAATGCACATCACTCAATAACTTCATCATGACTGAGTCTAAAGAAACGCCTGTGATATCTAACAGAGCTGATACTGAACTCTGTATTTATTTTTTCACTCCTACAGATTTATAACTTGCCAAGTATGAGAAATTTAGGAAGAGCTACCACCAGCTGATGCTTTACATCCACAAACAGTGGAAAAGGATTTTTCTAATCAGGCTTTGATATGATAAACTTGTGTTAGGTTGTTGAAACCAATCAGCTACAAATGAACCTTTAAAGTCCAGTGTTGATGCTGGCTGGTTTACACGTGTACTTCTGCTGTTTAATACATGAGTGAGATTATTCTACATTCTGCTAAACATTTCAAATATTCAAAGCTCTTTATTTACAGGCTCCACAGAAACCAGGGCCAAGCCTATCCAGAAGAAGCAGCCTTTGGAGGAGGAGCTACAGCAGTGAACATGAAAGGCTTCATGTAGGAGCTGAAGAGCTGCTGTGTTCTCTCTATTGTTCATTCAGTCCAAGAGGAAATCATGTTGCTGCTTTTCATTTGGATGATGATAGTCTCCTTTCAGACTGGTGAGTCATCAAAAGATGGAGTGAGATGTAAAAGGAGATGATGGACATGAAAATATCTGGATGTTGTTTGAATTGATTCACTTTTTATAAACTAAGTTTAAAGATGCAGAAACATGATGGTGAAATATGTCTTTGTTGTTTTCAGGATCCTCTGAGGATTTACTGACACCATCTAAAGATGTAGTGATGAGTTTGGAAGGAGACACTGTGACTCTCTCCTGCAACTATTCAGGCTCTGTCAGGAACCTCTACTGGTACCATCAGAAGTCCGGTTCACGTCCACAGCTTGTTATGGCAGATATTCAAAGCAAACAGAAAAGCTGAAGTTTATACATGACAAAGAAAAACAGGAGTTTCATCTGGAGATCTCCTCTGCTGCAGTGTCTGACTCTGCTGTGTACTACTGTGCTCTGCAGCCCACAGTGACAGGAAACAGCAAAACTCTGTACAAAAACCTTTGGAGCAAAGACAACAGAATACTCCACAACATCCACTAGAGGGAGCCACACACTGTTAAACCTCTGATTCTGTTACTGTGACTGAAACATTGTTCTTCTTCTCTCTGGTTTCAGTTGTTGAAAAACACAGTTTGTTTTGTGCCACCACATGTATGTTACTGAATCTACGTCAGTGTAAATCAGCAGGCTCTGACACACTGACACAGCCTCATTTCTCTGTATAAGGAAACTGTCAGGGTCCCTGAGTCATCAGGATTTTGAGTTTTGTAATTTCATTATTTGTTTTTGGTTTTTAGAAGTAATTTATGCTCCTCGTTTCTGTTAATGTTTTGGGTTCTTTGTGCTTTTGAGTTTTCCTGATCCCTTTGTTGGTTCTCTGTTGTGGTATTTGTGTCTCTAGTTAGTGACAGAGGAAGGAAAGAAATGGAAAGAAAGTAGGATAAAGATGGAACTGAACGAAGCAACGAAAAAAGGAAATAACGGAGAGGACTTCAGGTTGATTGTTTTCCTTTCTGTTCCCTCAGTCTTGTCCCCATGTCTGTCTCTCTGTGTCCTGTCTCCATTGTTTCCCTGTTTAGTTGTCAAGTTAATCTTGTCTCCACATTCTGTTATGTTCCTCTTCCTGTTTTATTTTGGTGACTGCCCTCTGTGTCTTGTATTTAGTTTGACTTCCTCTCACATCATTGTGTTAGTTGCCATCAGCTGTGTTCCCATTTGTTCCTTTTAAGATAAGATAAGATGCCTTTATTAGTCCCACAAGGGGAAATTTCATAAGGCTGCCGACCTATTGCACGCAATGGCGGCGCCATCTTACCCTCCGACCATACATACATTACACAAAACATCACATGGGGAAGACAGGTCAGAGAGGTATAACAATTGTGTGTGTGTGTGTCCAGAGTTCAGCTGAGACAGTGTCCTTCGCCCTGCCAGGCTAAGTAAACAGTCTTCCAGCCAACCCAGGTGGCCTTGCATGGAATGGGAAGAACAGACTAAACACAGTCGTTATCAGGGTGTTGTTGTTCAGCTCCAGCCTTGAGACCGCAGCTGGCGCCGAAGGGGTCTCCGCATGAAGTGATGGTGGTTTTTACTTTAGTGCGAACAACTCATATGAATTTCAAAGCTGTTCTAACAGTCCAACACTGGTCTCTCAATCTCCCGTTGGAGAGCCGTGAGCTTCTCCATGATGTTATCAAACTTACGCTCCGTGATGTTGTCATTCTTGTGCTCAAAGAGCCGATTCTGAGAACTCGACCGCAGTGAGCTTCTCCAAGATGTGATCCAATTTGCGCTCAGAGGTCTTATTCTGAGTGTTCACAGCAGCCGCAAGCTTCTCCAAGATCTTATCGTGCTGCACTCAATGAGCCCATTCTGAGAAGTCGCGCCTCGTCCCATCGTTTCAATCCCAGCAGGCAGCTGTGGTGGGGCGTGGTCTGCGGTGCCGCGCAGGGAGGGCGGACACACCTGCACGGCATCCTTAATCACGCCCACCTAGTTAAAAACACGGGGACTCAGGGGTTTGGGTGTGTTGTGTTGTGAAATCAATAAAATGGCTCTAAATTATGATCTTTGGTCCCGCCGTGCCTTATTCACACCACAGCAGCCTTGTGGGGGTTTGAACAGCCGGTTCCACTTCCTTAATTCTTCGATAAGCCAGGGCCAAGCCAGCTCCGATCAGCCAGAACCCTGTTACCATGGTTCCGAATAGGTAGATATCTTCAGCATCTCGATCGACAGTCCCGCCAGGCACACGACCCTCCAATTCTGCCACCCGTCCGTCGTGTATCCGGCAGGGAAAGTCCCTCCAGGACACTCAGGCTCACCCGAGCCCAGACGTCTCGTTGAGAAAAGGGTGTCAATTGCATTCAGGGACAAGTTGATCAAATCCATAATTCTCTTTTAGGTTTTAGAGAACAGACTGTGAGAGACTGTTCCAGGGAAAAGTAATACAAAAAACACGAGACTAGACAAGGACACAAGAGGCTAAGCAGGGAAGCTAAGAGGAGGAGGAGGAGGAGAAAAGTGCGACCGCCTTCGTCAAGAGCCAGAGCAGAGAACTCCCCTTGTTATCCCACATGTCTGTATTGTCACAGTCTCCCTCTGATCATTATCATGCTGACTCAAAGCTTTGTGTTTTTCTGCTCCGTGGTTTCCTTAGATGTGTCTACTCTGATTCCTCGTTCCTGCAGGAGCTTTTGGTCTCTTGTTATTCCTGTGAATAATCAGCATTGAAGCAGGTTTTTGAGTTCAATTCTTCTCTCCTGCGTCCTGCGTTTGGGTCCACTTCCTGCCAACCACACAACTGAAACAAGAATGTTTACCAGCAGAAACGGATCAGTCAGGGGAAACACTAAAGTGAAACGACTGGTTAGTAAATCAAATAAAGCAGGAAGAAAGGAAAATATGACCTGGACATCAGCTCTGTGTAAAAGTGACGAGGTACACCTTTTTCTAATTCAGCTTCCAAGCAGACAGACCTCATCGTAATTTTCAACGTGGTCATGAAGAATAATTCTCCAGTTTTCTGAAGATTTTTTGTTCAGAAAGTGTTTTTGTTTTGACTTTGATTTTTTTCAGCGAATAATTGATCATCCATTAAATAATTTCCCCTAGAGATGATAAGTATTCTGATTCTGATCCATCCAGTTTTCAATTACAGTTCATGATCAGGGAACTGAAGAGCACAGATGAAATATGAGCTCCACCTGAAAGTGAAGATGCTGCTACTAGTGTGTAAAGCAGGAGGAAGTGAGAGAAGTTCAAATCCAGATCAGAGAGGAGGAGGAGAGATTCAGGGAGGAGCTGAGCTGTTACTGAACTAGAAGAGAGAGAAACCTCCACATTCAACAGAGTTCAACACAAACCATAAACTTTACCTTCATTCAACATGTTGTCTTTGGACTATTTTGCACTTTCTTTACTGATTCTCACCATTCTAACAGGTACGTTACAATCTGTGTGTTTAAAGAAACACATTTGAATTGTGATGATTTATAAAAGAATAAAACATGTTTCTGTTCCTTTAGGTGTCAGCTGTGAAGATCTCACTCCAACCAACAAAGAAGTGTTCAGTGTAGAAGGCAGCACTGCTACTCTGTCCTATAGATTATCCAGAGAAGTGAAGACTAATGATTATTTCTTCTGGTACCGACAATATCCTGGAAAACCACCAGAGTTAATGATCTCTCACTCTGCATCAGGAGTAATAGGATCAGAAAAAATCCCTGGACTGAAAATTGAAGTGGGAAAAAACCAGCTCAACATGAGCATCTCCTCTGCTGCAGTGTCTGACTCTGCTGTGTACTACTGTGCTCTGCAGCCCACAGTGACAGGAAACAGCAAAACTCTGTACAAAAACCTTTGGAGCAAAGACAACAGAATACTCCACAACATCCACTAGAGGGAGCCACACACTGTTAAACCTCTGATTCTTGTGTCATTGGACTGATGACAAAGACAACAGAGAAATGAAGCAGTAAAGATCAGAGACAGAGACAGAGCTGCTGTGGAAGCACAAAACTATTAGAAGAAAAATAACTTTATTTATAAAGAACACTTTCTAACAATGTCGAACATTTACAGTTTGTTTGTCTTCTGAAGAAACAGAAACAAAACTGCTTCAGCTGTCAGATATCACCACTCCAACATCTGAGCTCATAACCCACAAACAACTGAGACACAGTAAAAAAGAATAACAGATATTTCAATCAGAGTCAGATATCGTCTTGTATCCTCTGGTTTTCAACAACACTCAGAATCCAAAGTGATGGAGGTAAAGTTTGTGTGACTCCGTCACAGGAGAAAATCTCAAAGGCTGCAGATGAAGACCATCAGCTGACAAAATGCTCCTCCACTTTTTAAATATTTGAACGTATTGTTATAAATTTACACAGTTGTAATAATATGACACAGAAACTGCTGTAGAAAATCACTGAAAACATGCTGAACTCAAAGGTTGATTATAGCGTTATTAGAAAAGTTACAAAACACTTCTTCCAGAATCGCAAAGAAATCTCCCAAAACTAGAAACTCCCTGAAATTCAAAAGGTCAAAAGAACGTGATCACAGATACAGCAGCAGAAATGAGCATCCTCTGAAGGGCCACATTAGGAGGGAAGTGGGTGTTTGGGAAGGCGAATTGGGGGAAGTTTAGTAGGGTTTGTGAGAGGAAGGTTTTACAAGTTCAAAATCAGTTGAGCGTTGAAAGCATGAATCAGGAAATCGGTCAAAGTATTCTACTCGCTGCTGAGGAGGCTATTCCAAAGACAACAGGGAAAGTTAGGAGGAGAGCAGTTCCATGGTGGAATGATGAATGTAAGTTAGTAGTTAGAGAAAGAAATAGAGCAATAGAAATAGAGTTGGTCAAACGGTCTCATAATTTTCAACACTTAATTGACTACAAAAAAGCACAGGCGAAAGTCAGAAGTACAATAAGAAGAACAAAGAGAACGTACTGGAGAGATTTCTGTAATACAATTGGTAGCAATACTCAAATAGGGGAAGTGTGGGAGATGATCAGGAAAATGGGGGGAGAAAGAAGAGACTGGAGTTATCCAATTCTTGATAAGAATAGTAGAGTAGCTGTAGCTGATGGGGGAAAAGCAGATTTATTGGCAAGTACTTTGTACCGGGTACCACTTTCCAGAAGGCAGCAGGGTGAAGAGTGTGTGTGAGGGGTGTGTGGGGTCGTCCACAATGCTGGTGGCTTTGCAGATGCAGTGGGTCCTATAAGTGTCTGTGATGGAGGGAAGAGAAGCTCCAATGATCTTCTCAGCTGCTCTCACTATCCGTTGTAGAGTATTGTGATCCAGTACAGTGCAGTTACCATATCAGACAGTGATGCAGCTGCTCAGGATGCTAAGGATAACCTGTACTGGGAAGCTAACAAAACAGACCTGAAACCTTAAAGGTACGGAGGGAACAGGGAGAGACTCAGGGAGACAACACAGCGACGAGAGGACACACACTATAAACACAGAGGGAAACGAGGAAACTACACACAGTAGGGAGACACGGCTGAAGCTAATTAACGTGACGAAACAGGGAGGATTTAAAACTGAACACACTGACATCAGACACGGACCTTCAAAGTAAAACAGGAAATGCACAGACTGGACTCAGAGACACGGTACAGACAGAACAGAGGGAACATACGGGCAGGACAAAACAGAGGAAGCACAGAACCAAAGCCCTAAGAACTAAAAAGTCCAAACCCAAATACATAGAATACTCTAGAACACAGGATCATAATAATAAACACAAAACACTGAGTCACATGACCCAGGACCATGACACGTTTGTTTTGTCACATCCAGAGACAGGTTGACTCGACACCAGTCCGTCAGCTGTTGCAACTCTCTGTTTGCTGACTCGTCGTTCTTGCTGATGAGACCCACCACAGTCGTGTCGTCAGCAAACTTGATGATGTGGTTCAAACTGTGCATGGCTGCACAGTCATGAGTCAGCAGAGTGAACAGCAGTGGGCTGAGCACACAGCCCTGAGGGGCTCCAGCGCTCAGTGTGGTGGTGTTGGAGGTGCTGCTACCGACTGTCTGAGGCCTCTCCGTCAGAAAGTCCAGGATCCAGTTGCAGAGGGAGGTGTTCAGGCCCAGCAGGCTCAGGTTTCCAATCAGGTGCTGAGGATGATCGTGTTGAATGCTGAGCTGAAGTCTATGAACAACATTCGTACATATGTGTCCTTATTGTCCAGATGGGTGAGGGCGAGATGTAGGGTGGTGGTGATGGCGTCTTCTTTTGACCAGTTGGGGGCAAACTGCAGTGGGTCCAGTGTGGGTGGCAGCCGGGTCTTAATGTGCCTCATGACGAGCCTGTCGAAGCACTTCATCCTTTAAAAAAACAGCTAAAACATCCTCGTCTTAGAGCGGCATTTGGGTGATGTTCTTGTGTAACATGTTTTTGTGTCTGATATTTTTTTATATTCCCTGTAAAGCACTTTGTCTTAAAAAATGTTGTATAAATACATTTTACTTCACATCAAACTGACCAAACAGCCACAAACTATTCTGAGATGTTTCTTGAATTCAGGACTTCTTACACATTTTTCTCCAAATGTCTCAAGTTTCAGACTTTTTAACTGTGTGTGTATCAGCGACTCTCTGACTCTGTCTACATCGTTAATGTGACTTCTGCTTGTGTGACGTGTCACACGGCTCCCTTAAATCATTTTGGTTATAAAGTGTGCAAAGGGAGAAGAACATGGAAACAGATACGGGGGACAAAGGCTGTAAAACACACACTCGCGCACACATAAGTAGAGAGGAGAGACATAGAGGGCGAGACACAAGGGCAAACCTACATCGACAAAGAGACCAGAAAGAAACATCAACCAGTAAATCTTTCAGCTGTAAAACATCATTAATGCACCAAAAATGATGGGAGTTTATTACTAGTTACTTTATTTGACTTCTGATGTCTGAACGTTCCTGCAGTTGGTTTGTGGTTGATGTGGATTTGCTGCTCATGTGAATCCTCCCACAGTGTTTCATTAGCAGCTGTAACCACAGTGACTCTGATAAAACAGGAATTAGCAGAATCCATCTGATATGAAGCTGTGCTTTGAATACCACTTCCCTCCTCTTTGAAGAGTAGTCAGATATCTGTGTTCAGGTTTTTGTACAGCCTCTTCTACACTTTGTATCACTGTGTTTCTAGAGCACAGTAGTAGAGAGCTGTGTCTGCCAGGGTTAGGGCTGCTATGGTCAGATTAGTTGTTGTGATGTTTCTGAGTCATACGTTTATCAGGAATATATTCACCACCACTGCTGGTCTTTTGCTCCTTTCTTTAGTATAAACTGAGGAGCCTGAAGGTCAGAATCATGTCTGTACCAATAAAGCCAAGGATAACTATAACTTGTCTCATAGCTACATGTGAGTGTGACAGATTCTCCTTCTGTTTCAGTGACTTCAGGTTGTTGAGGAGTGATTGAGTCTCCAGCTGTTAGTCCTGGAAAAAGAAAGAAGAAAAGTAGTGAAATGCAGTCTGTATATCTGCTTAATGCAGCAGCTTCAACTAAACTTTAATCCCTGTTCTTAAACTCACCTATAATGTGAGATAGAAGCAAAAAGAGGTGCAGCAACATGTCTTTGGAGTTATTAAAGCCAGACAGACAGCACATGAACAATGTTCTTCCACTGCAGCACAATGACCAACAAATAATGTCATTGGATGAGCTCAACTTCAGTGGGCGGGGCCAGTTTAATAGCTCAGCCAATCAAACAGTTTTGTGCTTCCACAGCAGCTCTGTCTCTGTCTCTGATCTTTACTGCTTCATTTCTCTGTTGTCTTTGTCATCAGTCCAATGACACAAGAATCAGAGGTTTAACAGTGTGTGGCTCCCTCTAGTGGATGTTGTGGAGTATTCTGTTGTCTTTGCTCCAAAGGTTTTTGTACAGAGTTTTGCTGTTTCCTGTCACTGTGGGCTGCAGAGCACAGTAGTACACAGCAGAGTCAGACACTGCAGCAGAGGAGATGCTCATCTTGATTTCTTTCCCTCCACTTGAATCTTCAGTCCAGGAACTTTTTCTTCTCCTACTGATCCTGAAGGTGAGTGTGAGATCAGGAACTCAGGTGCTTTTCCTGGATGTTGTCGATACCAGAAGAAATAATTAGCACCTGTGGTGTATTTGTAGGTCAGAGTAACTGTGCTGCCTTCTACACTGGACTCTTCATCTTTGACTGGAGTGAGCTGATCACATGTGACACCTGAAGGAAGAGAGAACGTTTTCAATCAATAATTGACGTTAATGAATCATTTGAGTTGAACATAGTTTCCTGTGTAGGTGAGCAGACCTGTGAGAGTGAGAAGAATCAGAGGAAACACACAGTGATGTAATGACAGCATGTTGAGGAACATAAAGTTTGTTTTGTGTTGAACTCTGTTGAATGTGGAGGTTTTTCTCTCTTCTATAGTTCAGTAACAGCTCAGCTCCTCCCTGAATCTCTGCTCCTCCTCTCTGCTCTCAGTCACTCCTCCTCCTGTGCTTCA